TGTGTGTGTGTGTGTGTCTGTGTGTGTCTGTGTGTGTCCCAGTGAGGCTCAGGGTCTGGACTTGATGTGCGTTGCCCTGGGAGACGGTGGTACCGCCTGGGCCCTGGATGCCAGTGGCAGCCGTGGTTCAGAACCGGTATCTGTGGGTCCAGACCGCAGGGGGACGACGACCACTGGTGGCAGGTGGGCCGAACCACTTCCTGTTTGTTAAAGCAGCGTGATGGGAGATGTGGCGTCGTTTCAGAGTCTAACTGTCTGTCCCCCCATCAGATCAGCATCTCGGACTACGTGGTCTTCGATCAGGGCAGTCTGTTCCAGACGCTGCTGCAGGCCACCCAGAGCGTTGCCACGGTAACCAGGGCGCCAGTGGAGCGGGTGGTGGCCTTCCTGTCGCAGTACTCGCAGTGCCAGCCGAGCCTGGTCAGCGCCAACGCCAGCGGAGTCTGGGTCGCCTCTGGCCGGAACCAGCTACACCTGGCCCGCGGCAGTCTCGTGGGTCAGTAGGGAAGGCAGAGTCCTGCAGAGCGGGGTTCAGATTCAGGGTTCAGGTTCTCAGCTGGTGTTTGTGTTTTCTTCAGGAACCTTCTGGCAGAACGTTGTTCCAAGAGGAACCGTCTCAGCCACCAGATGGACCTTCATCACGTCATCGGCTGTCCCGCACAGAGAAGGACACACACCTGCACACTGCACACACCCAGACCTCAACAAGCAGTCCTGGTCCACCGCCTGCCTTTAACTCTGAACGCACCTGACCGTTAGTCTGCCTGTGTCTCACCTGTGTCTCAGGTACTTCCTGTGGTTGGCTCAGAGCCGGAAGGATCTGTTCTGTGTCTGGGACCAGGATGGAGAGCTCCGCCCCTCCTCCGTCCCTCTACCACCTGAGGTAAAAACACCTGGCTCTGGTCCGCATTGACTCTGAAGTTCTCCTGTGTGTTCTGCTGATGTTCTACTGGGTTCTACCTGTGTGCTCAGGTGGAGCTGACTCACCTGTCTGCCTGCCGTGATGCTCTGTGGGGTTTGGACACGCACGGCAGAGTCAGTATTCGGACGCTGTCTCCGTCCTGTCCCATCGGACTCCACTGGACCCCCCTGGACCTCAGCCAGCTCGGTACGTACCCGGGTCATACAGGTGGAAGGTGGGCGGAGTCACAGGTCGCATTTATGTAGCTGATATGAGCTGACAGCAGCTGGACGGAAGAGTGAAGGGGAGGTTTCCTGAAATAAATATCTAAACACGACGAGTAGATGTCGTACTGCAGTATATAAAATATGTAGTATGTCAATATATACACAGAATACTGAAAGAGAAATACTTTGTAAAGGTGTTGTTGGGGGTCAGGTGTTCGTGTTTTTGGGGGTCAGGTTACAGTGTGACGCACAGACTGTGTTTCTCTGTGACAGCTGCAGGTTGTGTAACAGATCCAGAGGTCAACACGGAGTCTGTGTTGATGTCAGACTGAAACCTGACTGCTGGTTCAGGTCTGTTTTTAGTTCCCCTGCCCTTCTCACTGTCAGAGACCACATGACTGTCAGAGTCTGTTGAATCAACACTGAGTCAGAGGGCCTTTCTCATTTCCCAAATTTGTGCCTCCTCGATCCTCGACTTACAGCTGCTATATCTGTCAGAGGTCAGAGGTCGCACGCCTCTGGAGCAACGAGGGTTAAGTGTCTCGCTCAGGACACATCGGACTCTCACAGTGGATTTGAACCCGCGTCTCTCACACCAAAGGCATGTGTCTTATCCACTGAACCATCACCACCCCGGTTTCTGAGCGTAGCTCATCCAGGTAAACTTCGGGTTTAACTCTGGGTTTTCAGCACCACGAGGGCGGTTCACTTCTTCCCGGGTAGATCGCCATGGTAACTGATGCTGAACGGCTAACCTGCTCCGGAGCAGGTTCTGTTCCACATAAGAGATTGACTCTATGAAGACGCCGCCTACTGACCAATCAGCCGCCTACTGACCAATCAGCTCTCTAAGAAATGAGCGACATCATCTTACAGAGACTGATTAAAAGCCTCACGTCACTGTAGACCTGCAGGTTTTTACAGTAAACCTACTAACTGCTCTGAAATGATACGTTAAAATAAACAGGTTTCATTTTTCTTATCCATCCATCGTCAACCGCTTATCCTGCGTACAGGGTCACGGGGGGGTGGAGCCAATCCCAGCTGACATCGGGGCGAAAGGCGGGGTACACCCTGGACAGGTCGCCAGTCCATCGCAGTTGGCAGGATATTAAAATACTAAATTTAATATGAACGTAGGCTGTTAATTTTAGATTTGTAGCTTTCTTAAAGTCTAGCACAGAGACTGTAGTCATGTTCCGCCCACCTTCTCCGTCACAGCCGAGCTGAAAGAATAAGGCTGATGTTTTCATCCAGCTCACATGAACACATTATTACAGACTACTGTTCGCTTCTCCCTGCAGCTGCAGTGGTCCCGGCTGGGTCGGGAAACCCGGGTTGAGTTACCGAGTTGATAACCAGCTTCGTGGTACCGCTTATCTGGACCGCGATTGTTCGGGTTAGTGAAGCCAGATAACGTAAAGAGATCCTGGGTTTGTTGAACTGGCTTCGGGGTGCAGGACCCTGATCCACATCAAATAAACAAACGACCGTAGTGACTTTATTTACTGGACTATTCATGGAACCACAGAACAATCTGAGTATTTACTGGTTACTGCTAATTTATCAAATCAACCTTGAGATGTTGAATGTTGAAACTTTACCTGAGGTGATGAAACATGGCGGAACCGAAAAGACAGAACAGAACGAGTGAATAATGAAAACTTCGTTCGTCCGTGACTTCTTTATGGCCAAAATTCACAAAGGGCTACAGGTTCTACAGGTCCTGAGGATACCTCAGGGGCAGTTTGATTGGTCCAGTTTCTGGGGGTTCCAAAGGATGTTTCAGTAGTCCATGAGGTTTTAAGGTCCCACATGTTATATAAGTGTGTGTACAGGTGTGTTCAGGTAAAATGTCACCTGTGTGTCAAAGGGAGTGTTCGTCTGGTCAGTGTGAGCTGCGGCAGTCAGAACGTCTGGGCCGTGGACAGTCGAGGAGTCGTTTACTTCAGAGTTGGAACCCAGCCTCTGAACCCGAGCATGATGCTGCCAGCCTGGATCCACATAGAACCCCCTGTACAGGTAACACACACACCGGATCCACATAGAACCCTCTGTACACCCCCTGTACAGGTAACACACACACACCGGATCCACATAGAACCCCCTGTACAGGTAACACACACACACACGGATCCACATAGAACCCCCTGTACAGGTAACACACACACCGGATCCACATAGAACCCCCTGTACAGGTAACACACACACACCGGATCCACATAGAACCCCCTGTACAGGTAACACACACACCGGATCCACATAGAACCCTCTGTACAGGTAACACACACACCGGATCCACATAGAACCCCCTGTACAGGTAACACAAACCACCGGATCCACATAGAACCCCCTGTACAGGTAACACACACACACGGATCCACTAGAACCCCTGTACAGGTAACACACCACCGGATCCACATAGAACCCCCGGTACAGGTAACACACACACCGGATCCACATAGAACCCCCTGTACAGGTAACACACACACACCGGATCCACATAGAACCCCCTGTACACCCCCTGTACAGGTAACACACACACCCGGATCCACTAGAACCCCCTGTACAGGTAACACACACACACACCGGATCCACATAGAACCCCCTGTACAGGTAACACACACACCGGATCCACATAGAACCCTCTGTACAGGTAACACACACACACCGGATCCACATAGAACCCCCTGTACAGGTAACACACACACCGGATCCACATAGAACCCCCTGTACAGGTAACACACACACACCGGATCCACATAGAACCCCCTGTACAGGTAACACACACACACCGGATCCACATAGAACCCCCTGTACAGGTAACACACACACCGGATCCACATAGAACCCCCTGTACAGGTAACACACACACACCGGATCCACATAGAACCCCCTGTACAGGTAACACACACACACCGGATCCACATAGAACCCCCTGTACAAGTAACACACACACACCGGATCCACATAGAACCCCCTGTACAGGTAACACACACACACCGGATCCACATAGAACCCCCTGTACAGGTAACACACACACCTGATCATCCAACTGTGACGTCATGTCTCTGCAGCCAATAGGAGTGCAGCTGGTCAGTATCAGACGAGTCCTAACGACCGCCTCCTCTGGGCCTTGGACAACAGAGGAAGCGTCTTTGTCAGGACCGGACTCAGTGATGAGATGCCTGTGGGGACGGACTGGGAGCTGGTACCAGGTACGTGCCTGTCTTTCTGATCCGAATACCTGTTCAGGAGGTTCTGTAAATGATGGACTGACTGGTGTTCAGGGTCTCACGTGTGTTTGAATGCTGTACTTTAATCGTGTACATGTTTGTGTACTTTAGGTCTGGCGGTCAGTCAGCTGGTCCTCAGCTCTCGGACAGTTTGGGTTCGGTGTGTAAACGGAGATCTGGCTCGACGTTACGGCGTCTCTGACAGAAACCCTGCAGGAGACTACTGGAAGAAGATCCCCGGAAACGCCAACTGGTTAACTGGTGAGACTGGGTTCATACTGGAGAGACTGGGTTCATACTGGTGAGACTGGGTTCATACTGGTGAGACTGGGTTCATACTGGAGAGACTGGGTTCATACTGGTGAGACTGGGTTCATACTGGAGAGACTGGGTTCATACTGGTGAGACTGTGTTCAGACTGGAGAGACTGGGTTCATACTGGTGAGACTGGGTTCATACTGGTGAGACTGGGTTCATACTGGTGAGACTGTGTTCAGACTGGAGAGACTGTGTTCAGACTGGAGAGACTGGGTTCAGACTGGAGAGACTGGGTTCATACTGGTGAGACTGGGTTCATACTGGTGAGACTGGGTTCAGACTGGAGAGACTGGGTTCATACTGGAGAGACTGGGTTCATACTGGTGAGACTGGGTTCATACTGGTGAGACTGGGTTCAGACTGGAGAGACTGGGTTCAGACTGGTGAGACTGGGTTCATACTGGTGAGACTGGGTTCAGACTGGTGAGACTGTGTTCAGACTGGAGAGACTGGGTTCAGACTGGTGAGACTGGGTTCAGACTGGAGAGACTGGGTTCAGACTGGAGAGACTGGGTTCATACTGGTGAGACTGGGTTCAGACTGGAGAGACTGGGTTCATACTGGTGAGACTGGGTTCATACTGGTGAGACTGGGTTCAGACTGGAGAGACTGGGTTCAGACTGGAGAGACTGGGTTCATACTGGTGAGACTGGGTTCAGACTGGAGAGACTGGGTTCAGACTGGTGAGACTGTGTTCATACTGGTGAGACTGGGTTCAGACTGGAGAGACTGGGTTCAGACTGGAGAGACTGGGTTCATACTGGTGAGACTGTGTTCAGACTGGAGAGACTGTGTTCAGACTGGAGAGACTGGGTTCAGACTGGAGAGACTGGGTTCATACTGGTGAGACTGGGTTCAGACTGGAGAGACTGGGTTCATACTGGTGAGACTGTGTTCAGACTGGAGAGACTGTGTTCAGACTGGTGAGACTGGGTTCATACTGGTGAGACTGGGTTCAGACTGGAGAGACTGGGTTCAGACTGGAGAGACTGGGTTCATACTGGTGAGACTGTGTTCATACTGGAGAGACTGGGTTCAGACTGGAGAGACTGGGTTCAGACTGGAGAGACTGGGTTCATACTGGTGAGACTGGGTTCATACTGGAGAGACTGGGTTCAGACTGGTGAGACTGGGTTCAGACTGGAGAGACTGGGTTCAGACTGGAGAGACTGGGTTCATACTGGTGAGACTGTGTTCAGACTGGAGAGACTGGGTTCATACTGGAGAGACTGTGTTCAGACTGGAGAGACTGGGTTCATACTGGTGAGACTGTGTTCAGACTGGAGAGACTGGGTTCATACTGGAGAGACTGTGTTCAGACTGGAGAGACTGTGTTCAGACTGGAGAGACTGGGTTCAGACTGGAGAGACTGGGTTCATACTGGAGAGACTGTGTTCATACTGGTGAGACTGGGTTCAGACTGGTGAGACTGGGTTCAGACTGGAGAGACTGGGTTCAGACTGGAGAGACTGGGTTCATACTGGAGAGACTGGGTTCAGACTGGTGAGACTGGGTTCAGACTGGAGAGACTGGGATCATACTGGTGAGACTGGGTTCAGACTGGAGAGACTGGGTTCATACTGGAGAGACTGGGTTCAGACTGGAGAGACTGGGTTCAGACTGGAGAGACTGGGTTCAGACTGGTGAGACTGGGTTCAGACTGGAGAGACTGGGATCATACTGGTGAGACTGGGTTCAGACTGGAGAGACTGGGTTCAGACTGGAGAGACTGGGTTCAGACTGGAGAGACTGGGTTCAGACTGGAGAGACTGTGTTCATACTGGTGAGACTGTGTTCAGACTGGAGAGACTGTGTTCAGACTGGAGAGACTGTGTTCATACTGGTGAGACTGGGTTCAGACTGGAGAGACTGTGTTCAGACTGGAGAGACTGTGTTCATACTGGTGAGACTGGGTTCAGACTGGAGAGACTGGGTTCAGACTGGAGAGACTGGGTTCAGACTGGAGAGACTGTGTTCATACTGGTGAGACTGTGTTCAGACTGGAGAGACTGGGTTCATACTGGAGAGACTGTGTTCAGACTGGAGAGACTGGGTTCAGACTGGAGAGACTGGGTTCATACTGGTGAGACTGGGTTCAGACTGGAGAGACTGTGTTCAGACTGGAGAGACTGGGTTCAGACTGGAGAGACTGGGTTCATACTGGTGAGACTGGGTTCAGACTGGAGAGACTGGGTTCAGACTGGAGAATCCGCATGAACCAGCCTGAAGTGTGTGTATTACTTGTGTATTCTCAGTAACAGACGTTGATTTGATGTACCTCAGATGTGTCATATTCTCCGGTGTGTCTCTCTCTCTCTTCAGTGACTCCAGAGGACGAGTTGTGGGCGGTGACTCTGATTGGTGGATTGTCCCGTCGCCTGACGAAGCTCCTCCCACAGACTCCCTGTAGACCCGCCCCCTCAGGCCCGTCCCTCAGTGGAGACGACGTTGATGACGAATGGGAGCTCATCTGACCAGTGACATCACTGTGATGTCACCACTGTTTGGTGTTGGTCTGTCTGATCTGGATCCACCTGGAGGGACGTCATCTTAGTGACATCACTGTGGGTTGTGTGATGCCACAGACCGACACTGAGCAGGCAGGTGACATCATTTCCTGTGACATTAATGTTTAGAGGACAATTCTGAAGGACGATGCCACACACAGGGAGCCCAGCGGGCTGCTGGGAAATGAAGTGAAATAAGTTTCAGTTTTGTTTCTAAAGGAAGCACTTAAATCTGAAGGGACTGGTTCAGTGTGGTTCTTACTGGTTCAGTCTGGTTCTAACTGGGTCTAACTGGACTAATGTTTCATTCCTGTTCAGCTGTCTGTTTCTATGTGAGGACATTAAGGGAACACGTTTACTCCAGTTCTAACTGGTTCAGTCTGATTCAGTTTATTTGAGACTAGTTAGCTTGAAGCTAATTATTAAAGGGACGCTCACTCCAGTTCATGTGATCAATGCACGACCGATCGATATTTAGTAGTGACCTGGACTTAATGTTTGTTTGTTTTTATGCTTTTAACTGGAGCTGCTTCTTCTTCACTTTAACTTCTTCAGTTTTTCTTCTTCTGGAGTTAAATGAGTCGAACTGGTTTGGATTCTAGTTGCTGGTTCACCTGTGGAAGTGTTGCCCTCATGCACAGTTACCACGGCAACAGGCAGGGCCCCCCCCCGATCCATAAAAAACATGTAAAAATGTAAATTTAATAAATGTCTGTTTGTGTTTGTGTTTGTTGTTAAAACAAGTTTCACCCAATAAGATTTAAAACAAAACCTGGACTATAGTTGACCTTGATTGATCCTGATGTACTGTGTTGGCCCCCTATGCACTGTATTGAACCCTGATGGACCCCGATGGACTGTAGTGGACGCCATGGACTGAGGGGGACCCTGATTGACTCTGGTGGAACCTGATGTACTGTAATGGACTCTGGTGGAGCCAGTAAGGAGCAGGTCTGAGTTCTGAACTGGATTTATAAAAAAAACTCTGGGTTTGTCCTTTAAATGTTGACTCCTCGTTGCCATGGAAAAACCTGAGCAGGTATGACTGCGTCATGATGTCATCCTGCTGTCAGCTGATTGGTTGGCTGTCCTGACCAGTAAGAATTCAGTGTAAACTCGCCTGTTGCTAGAATTCATTCATTAACTTAATAAACATGCTTAAACACTGAAGCAGAATCAGGTTATTGAGTACAAGTGATTATTGATTATTATCTGAGAGCTGCTGAGAGGCCCAAAGTGACCCTTGCATGAACAAACATAAAGACCTGAAGGTGAAAACCTCCAAAAATCTGATTTATCAGTGACCAATAAATAATTTCAGTTTTGAGTTGATACATCTATCAAAACAACTATCAATACATTTATCTGACGCTTTTATCCAAAGCGACTTACAATTGCTATACATATCAGAGGTCGCACGCCTCTGAAGCAACGAGGGGTTAAGTGTCTTGCTCAGGGACACATTGGTGAATGTCTCAGAGTGGGAATTGAACCTAGGTCTCCAACAGCAAAGGCAAGCATCTTATCTATACGCCACCACCACCCCAATAAATCTATCAATGCAACTATCAATAAATACAACTATCAATAAATCTACCAATAAATCAATCAATAAATCTATCAATACAACTATCAATACATTTATCAAAACATCTATCAATACATCTATCAAAACATCTATCAATAAATCTATCAAAACAACTACCAATAAATCTATCTATACATCTATCAATGAAGCTATCATTAATTCTATCAATGGAACGATCAATACATCTATCAATAAATCTATCAAAACAACTATCAATACAACTTTCAAAACAACTATCAATACATCTATTAATACAACTATCAATGAATCAATCAATACATTATCTATACATCTATCAATGAAGCTATCATTAATTCTATCAATGGAACGATCAATACATCAATCAATACATCTATTAATACAACTATCAATAAATCAATCAATACATTATCTATACATCTATCAATGAAGCTATCATTAATTCTATCAATGAAACGATCAATACATCTATCAATAAATCAATCAATACAACTATCAATAAATCAATCATACATCTATCAATAAATCTATCAATACATTTATCGAAACATCTATCATTACATCTATCAAAACAACTAGCAATAAATCTATCAAAACAACTATTAATACAACTATCAATACATCAATCAATACATCTATTAATACAGCTATCAAATCTATCAATACATCTATCAATAAATCTATCACTACATCTATCAATAAATCCATCAATAAAACTATCAATAAATCTATCAAACAACTATTAATACAACTATCAATACATCAATCAATACATCTATCAATAAATCTATTAATACAACTATCAAATCTATCAGTACATCTATCAATACATCAATCAATACATCTATCAATAAATCTATTAATACAACTATCAAATCTATCAATACATCTATCAATACAACTATCAATACATCTATCAATACAACTATCAAAACATCTATCAATAAGTCTATCAAAACAACTACCAATAAATCTGTCTATACATCTATCAATGAAGCTATCATTAATTCTATCAATGGAACTATCAATACATCTGTCAATACATCTATCAATAAATCTATCAAAACAACTATCAATACAACTTTCAAAACAACTATCAATACATCAATCAATACATCTATAATACAACTATCAATAAAGCAATCAATATTTATCAATAAATCTATCAATACATCTATCAAAAACTATCAATAAATCTATCAAAACAACTATCAATAAATATATCAACACATCTATCAATACATCTATCAATACAACTTTCAATACATCTATCAATAAATCAATCAGTACAACTATCAATAAATCTATTAATACAACTATCAAATCTATCAATACATCTATCAATAAATCTATCAATACAACTATCAATACAACTATTAACATCTATCAATAAGTCTATCAAAACAACTACCAATAAATCTATCTATACATCTATCAATGAAGCTATCATTAATTCTATCAATGGAACTATCAATACATCTATCAATAATCTATCAAAACAACTATCAATACAACTTTCAAAACAACTATCAATACATCTATCAATACAACGTTCAATACATTAATCAATACATCTATCAATAAATCTATTAATACAACTATCAATCATCTATCAATACACTTTCAATACATCAATCAACATCTATAAATAAATCAATCAATACAACTATCAATAAATCAATCAATACATCTATCAATAAATCAATCAATACATCTATCAATAAATCTATCAAAACAACTATCAATACATCTATCAATACATCAATCAATACATCTATTAATACAACTATCAATAAATCAATCAATACATTATCAATAAATCTATCAATACATCTATAAAAACAACTATCAATAAATATATCAACACAACTATCAGTACAACTATCAATAAATCTATCAAAACAACTATCAATACAACTATCAATACATTTATCAAAACATCTATCAATACATTTATCAAAACATCTATCAATACATCTATCAAAACATCTATCAATAATCTATCAAACAACTACCAATAAATCTATGTATACATCTATCAATGAAGCTATCATTAATTCTATCAATGGAACGATCAATACATCTATCAATAAATCTATCAAAACAACTATCAATACAACTTTCAAAACAACTATCAATACATCAATCAATACATCTATTATACAACTATCAATAAAGCAATCAATACATTATAAATAAATCTATCAATACATCTATCAAAAAAACTATCAATAAATCTATCAAACAACTATCAATAAATTTATCAACACAACTATCAATACATCTATCAATACAACTTTCAAAACAACTATCAATACAACTATCAATACATCTATCAATACAACTTTCAATACATCAATCAATACATCTATCAATAAATATATTAATACAACTATCAATAAATCAATCAATACATCTATCAATAAATCAATCAGTACAATGAAGCTATCATTAATTCTATCAATGGAACTATCAATACATCTATCAATACAACTATCAATACATCTATCAAGACATTTATAAAAAGATCTATCAATACATCTTTCAAAACAGCTATCAATAAATCTATCAAAACAACTATCAATACATCTATCAATACAACTATCAATACATCTATCAAGACATTTATAAAAAGATCTATCAATACATCTTTCAAAACAACTATCAATAAATCTATCAAAACAACTACCAATGAATCACTCAATACATCTATCAAAAATCTATCAATACAACTATCAATACATCTATCATACAACTATCAATACATCTATCAAGACATTTATAAAAAGATCTATCAATACATCTTTCAAAACAACTATCATAAATCTATCAAAACAACTACCAATGAATCACTCAATACATCTATCAATAAATCTATCAATACAACTATCAATACATCAATCAATACATCTATCAATACAATTATCAATACAACTATCAATACATCTAAAGATACATCTATCAAAACATCTATCAATACATCTATCAAAACATCTATCAATACAACTATCAAAACATCTATCAATACATCTATCAAAACAACTATCAATAAATATATCAACACAACTATCAATACATCTATCAATAAATCTATCAATACATCTATCAATAAAACTTTCAAAACAACTATCAGTACAACTGTCAATATATCTATCAAAACAACTATCAAAACAACTATCAATACAACTATCAATACATTTATCAAAACATCTATCAATACATCTATCAAAACATCTATCAATAAATCTATCAAAACAACTACCAATTAATCTATCTATACATCTATCAATAAATCTATCAAAACAACTACCAATTAATCTATCTAGACATCTATCAATGAAGCTATCATTAATTCTATCAATACAACTATCAATACATCAATCAATACATCTATCAATGAATCTATTACTACAACTATCAATAAATCAATCAGTACATTATCAATAAATCCATCAATACATCTATCAATAAATCTATTAATGCAACTATCAATCTATCAATACATCTATCAATACATCTATCAATACAACTATCAATACAACTATCAAAACATCTATCAATAAGTCTATCAAAACAACTACCAATAAATCTATCTATACATCTATCAATGAAGCTATCATTAATTCTATCAATGGAACTATCAATACATCTATCAATAAATCAATCAAAACAACTATCAATACAACTTTCAAAACAACTATCAATACATCAATCAATACATCTATTAATACAACTATCAATAAAGCAATCAATACATTATCAATAAATCTATCAATACATCTATCAAAAAAACTATCAATACATCTATCAATACAACTATCAATACATCTATCAATACAACTTTCAATACATCAATCAATACATCTATCAATAAATCTATTAATACAACTATCAATAAATATATTAATACAACTATCAAATCAATCAATACATCTATTAATAAATCAATCAGTACAATTATCAATGAAGCTATCATTAATTCTATCAATGGAACTATCAATACATCTATCAATACAACTATCAATACATCTATCAAGACATTTATCAAAACATCTATCAATACATCTTTCAAAACAACTATCAATAAATCTATCAAACAACTATCATACATCTAAAGATACATCTATCAAAACATCTATCAAAACATCTATCAATACATCTATCAATACAACTATCAATACATCTAAAGATACATCTATCAAAACATCTATCAAAACATCTATCAATACAACTATCAAACAACTATCATACATCTAAAGATACATCTATCAAAACATCTATCAAAACATCTATCAATACATCTATCAATACAACTATCAATACATCTAAAGATACATCTATCAAACATCTATCAAAACATCTATCATACATCTATCAAAACAACTATCAATAAATCAATCAATACATCTATCAATAAATCAATCAATACATCTATCAATAAATCTATCAATACATCTATCAATAAATCTATCAAAACAACTATCAATACATCTATCAATACATCAATCAATAAATCTATTAATACAACTATCAATACATCTATAAAAACAACTATCAATAAATATATCAACACAACTATCAATACATCAATAAATCTATCAATACAACTATCAATACATCAATAAATCTATCAATACAACTATCAATACATCTATCAATACAACTATCAATACATTTATCAAAACATCTATCAATACATCTATCAATAAATCTATCAAAACAACTACCAATTAATCTATCAATACAACTTTCAAAACTATCAATACATCAATCAATACATCTATTAATATAACTATCAATAAATCAATCAATACATTATCACTACATCTATCATACTACTTTCAAAACAACTATCAATACATCTATCAATACAACTTTCAATACATCAATCAATACATCTATCGATAAATATATTAATACAACTATCAATAAATCTATCAAAACAACTATCAATACAACTATCAATACATCTATCAATAAATCTATCAATACAACTATCAATAAATCTATCAATGCAACTATCAATGAATCAATCAATACATCTATCAAAACATCTATCAATACATCTATCAATAAATCAATCAATACAACTATCAATACATCTATCAATAAATCTATCAATACAACTTTCAAAACTATCAATACATCAATCAATACATCTATTAATATAACTATCAATAAATCAATCAATACATTATCACTACATCTATCATACTACTTTCAAAACAACTATCAATACATCTATCAATACAACTTTCAATACATCAATCAATACATCTATCGATAAATATATTAATACAACTATCAATAAATCTATCAAAACAACTATCAATACAACTATCAATACATCTATCAATAAATCTATCAATGCAACTATCAATGAATCAATCAATACATCTCTCAAATCTATCAATACATCTATCAAAACATCTATCAATACATCTATCAATAATCAATCAATACAACTATCAATACATCTATCAATAAATCTATCAATACATCTATCAAACCAACTATCAATACATCTATCAATACATCTATCAATACATCTATCAAACAACTATCAATACATCTATCAATAAATCTATCAATACATCTATCAATAAATCTATCAAACCAACTATCAATACATCTATCAATACATCTATCAATAAATCTATCAATACAACTATCAATACAACTATCAATAAATCTATCAATGCATCTATCAATACACATCTATCAATACATCTATCAATAAATCTATCAATACACATCTATCAATACATCTATCAATAAATCTATCAAACCATCTATCAATACACATCTATCAATAAATCTATCAAACCAACTATCAATACATCTATCAATACATCTATCAATAAATCTATCAACACAACTATCAATACAACTATCAATAAATCTATCAATGCATCTATCAATACACATCTATCAATACATCTATCCATAAATCTATCAATACACATCTATCAATACATCTATCAATAAATCTATCAAACCAACTATCAATACATCTATCAATACATCTATCAATAAATCTATCAATACAACTATCAATACAACTATCAATAAATCTATCAATGCATCTATCAATACACTATCAATAAATCTATCAATACACATCTATCAATACATCTATCAATAAATCTATCAATAAATCTATCAATACAACTATCAATAAATCTATCAATAAATCTATCAATGCATCTATCAATACACATCTATCAATACATCTATCAATAAATCTATCAATAAATCTATCAATACACATCTATCAATAAATCTATCAATAAATCTATCAATACATCTATCAATACACATCTATCAATACATCTATCAATAAATCTATCAATACACATCTATCAATAAATCTATCAATAATCTATCAATACATCTATCAATACACATCTATCAATACATCTATCAATACATCTATCAATAAATCTATCAATACACATCTATCAATACATCTATCAATGCAACTGAGAGTGTGAAGGTCAAAATGTGTGTGAGTGTGTGTGAGTGTGAGAGTGTGTAAGTGGGTGCGTGAGTGAGAGCGCGTGTGTGTCAAAAGTTTGACAGAGTGCGTGTGTGTGAGAGTGTGTAAGTATCAAAATGTGAGTGTGTGTGTGCGTGAGTGCATGAGAGTGCTTGTGTGTGTGAGAGCGCGTGTGTGTCAAAAGTGTGAGAGTGTGTGAGAGTGTGTGTGTGTGCGTGAGTGCATGAGGGTGCTTGTGTGTGTGGGAGCGTGTGTGTGTGTCAAAAGTGTGAGAGTGTGTGTGTGTGTGTGTGTGCGTGAGTGCATGAGAGTGCGTGTGTGTAAGTGTCAAAATGTGAGTGTGTGTGTGTCAAAAGTGTGAGTGTGTGTGTGCGCGTGGGTGCTTGAGAGTGCGTGTGTGTGTGAGAGCGTGTGTGTGTGTCAAAAGTGTGAGAGTGTGTGTGTGTGTTTGTGTGTGTGTGCGTGAGTGCATGAGAGTGCGTGTGTGTAAGTGTCAAAATGTGAGTGTGTGTGTGTCAAAATGTGTGTGAGAGTGCTTGAGAGTGCGTGTGTGTGTGAGTGTCAAAATGAATGTGTGTGTAAAAGGGAGATGGGGGTTTCATGTATCCATGTTTTTACACTTGTGTGTTGTCGTGAGCGTTGCACCAACTTCTTAGCAACTTAGTTGCATTTTAATAAAGTATTGAATCTTGAATCTTGAACTATCAATACGTATCAAAACGTCCATGGGCTGAGAGGAACCTGCAGACACAAGTCAGGGCAGAAAAAACAAACTTCCAATTTTGTTTTTACGTCATTTTTATTTACGATTTCCTGCAGACACGTGAAGAACAAACTGTTTGCAGGTCACTTCTGTTGTGATGTCACTGACGTCAGGATAGTGAAAAACACATTTCTGCCCACTCTCTAAGAAAAGCTCATAAGTCCCAGCTGAGGAGCTCTACGCTTTGTCCCAACCCGAAGTGTCCTGTCAGTCTGAGCTGAGGACGATCACAGCGATCGTCCGATAGCTCGGCTGCGAAAACGGAATCAGGAAACAGTTTCACGGTCAGCTGTTTGTCTTCATGAGTCTGGAGGAGATCTAAAGTCTGAACTCTGAGGTAGAACATGTTCATCATCAGAACCCGGAACGCTGACTCAGCTCGTCTGAAACACTCACTCATTCACTTTAAAGCTGCACACAGTCATTAAAGATTCCTCTTAAAACCTCGTATCTCCTTCATAAAGCCTGTTGTTGATGGAGATACAAGGTTTGTACCTGACAGACATCAGCTGTGTTTCCAGTTTTTTTACATTTTATTACATCATGTGTTGCCATAGTGACAGATGATGTCACTGCCAGCTGTGCAGCTGCAGGAAGTGGGGCAGGGCGGTGATCTGATCTGGGCCGGACCGGGCCAGACACCTGAGCGCCTGCAGCAAGAGGGGGGGCGGGGACAGACCGCACAGCCAGCTAAACACTTCGTTTCCCAGCAGGCTTTGCCAGCGTTGCGGTTCGTCCCACAGGCGCTGCAGCGCTGGTGGTTTGGACAGGAAGAGCAGCAGGTAGTCAACGCAGCGCTGCGCGTGGCGCCGCTCCGCCGCGTTGGAGGAGACGAGTCGCAGCAGCGCCGCATCGAGGCCGTCGGGTTGAGCGCGCCGTGGACCAGCAGCA